TCCACAGTAAGTAAATAGATATGATAATGCTATCTGCCAACTCTTTATATTTTTTAAACTATAAAATTTATTTTGTAAAATGTCCTTATTTATGAGACCTTTAATGAGTTTCTTGCTTTAAGTATCTGTAGGTTACTTGAAAGAAAGTTTTTATTACAGGCCTAAGACTTGTTTTTCTTTTAACATCTTTCATGGTTGAAATAGAATATAAATTCAGGCATCAACTTTAGATTAGTTTTAGCTGTAAATAACTAATAGTCTGCAATAGAACAAGTTTCTATAAGCAGTATTTTTAATGTTTCAGTATGTACTCTACTAAAACTTTTCAGCATTAATTCATACTAACATGCAGTTTAATGAACTTACTAGGAAAAACATGGTAAAAATTTTGGATTTTCTGGGTGTACTGAGAGATCTAGCAAAAATGCATCCCAAAGTGCAAAAACCTTACATTTATTTCTCTTTATGACAAGTGTAAACTGTTAAGGTTAAGTGGGTGGGGCAACCGGAAGTAATTACTAAGGCCAGTGGCATTTTTGTGGTTTAATAAAGGCAGAAGCTAATTATTCAGTTTTTATTTAAGTGAAATGGTGCCAAAAAGGAGGTTCCTGCAGAGCAGCTGCACTCCTTCAGTGTTACCCTAATTTACCAAAGACACAACTGTCACAAACAAAACTTTTAAACTTGATATATAGCCACAAAAGTAAGGAGGCTTTTGTTTGGAGTGCATGCAGAAGAACTCCTTTATACAAATCAACCGGCAGATGACGGACAATGATGAAAATTTGATTCTTTGAAGTCATAATAGTCATTGAAATGTGTGAAATTCTGGTATTGAAAAGAGAGCGGCCAGCAAGACTCTAAATCCTGGGTGGTTGCAAGAAGCTTGCTGGGAGGTTTTTCTGCATTTTGACACCAACTTCCCATTGCTTGTTCCCTGCTTCCTTTGTTAAAGAAAAAAAAAGTTGAATTCACAGAAGATAAATGGAGACAGTTGATAACCGAATCATACAATTTTAATATGGAAAACTAATATTTTATCATGGAAATTGGTATTTGAAAGAATAAAGTTCATATACGTATACTGGTACATTCATAGTGATTTTTTAAATTCCTCTTCATTTATGTAGACTTGTGAAATGGCGGGTCAGCTATCATCTCCTCCAAAATTTAAAATTGTTGAAGATATAGTATTGAAAGAATGAACTTTGGAATTATAACATGCATCTTTCCATTAGCAAATTTTGACTTGAATGCCCTTAATCTGTGAATTATTGACTTATTAGTTATCATTTATTAAAATAGCATATTGTACATAAGGTTGTATTTCTGAAACTTTATTAGGATAATGACATTAATAATGGAAACATAGGTTTCATACTTGACCCAACTATTCAACAATTAAAAGTTTTAAAATTCAATAAATCTGTGTATATTACTTATGGAGTAGCTTGTTTTATTGGAATTTATAGATAATTATTAATTGGTGAGTCTTGAGGTTCTTCAGGTGCCAGCTTGAAGGCTTTTCATACCTATGTGATTTCGTTTTTTGAATTATTATTTATAAATTATTTATCTCTATTTTACCAGTAAAATGAGAAATTTGTAAAAGGCAATAGTGACGTCTTTCTCCAAAGCATTTCTAGCTTTTCTAAATAGGTTTCAAAAACTCACAGGTGATCCATATTGCCATACAAAAGTAGAAATCCATAAAGAATACAGTTAGTTCATTATAATTTAAATAGTTTACAGATTTTAAATTTTTTTTGTGGAAGTTAGATCTCAGGTAGCTCCGTGAGAATTTAGAGGGAACCACACAAAGCATTGAAGACACAAGTAGAGTTCAGCATAGCGCCTCGTAGTTCTTTTCAAGTGTTACATTGTTTTCATGGAATCTTGGAGTGGGAGCTTTAACCCATTGAAATGCACTTAAAGAACAGGTTCTTCTGTCACTAGCCGAAGCTGTGTGGATGAAATGATAACAATAGGGTGTCGTGATGCATTTTTAAAGTGTGAGAAATCAGGTTGTCTAGACTGAGAGTGTGCCTACAGGGACTAGGAATTTTAGAGCCTCTGTGCCCTTTAGGTGTCAAGTATATGAGAGATGCCAAGCCTCTTTATTCTGTCTTTGGCAGCAGCTCAACTGGGCTGTAGTACCTTACATGTCTTCTGCATGCAAAAACAGTGATTCTGTGTCATGACAACTTGGATTCCCAAAATCAGAAACCCACTTGTTCAAATGCCAACTTTAAATTAGGGGAAGATATCAAATAATTGCCGTAATTTGAGGAGACATGGAAGTTTGGTAGTTACGAGTTCAAAATATAAATAGCTTAGCAACATTGTGTAGACACTTTTTAAAAAAGGTTTTCTATCCTAAAATTTATACTGTCTTTTCTACTTTGTAGATCAAATACTGTTTTATAGTATAAATCAAGAAATACTATTTCAATTTTTTTCAAAACTTGAAAAAGTTTAAAATCTTAAGTTCTTTAATCACTTTGACATATATGTATCACAGTATAGAAGTAGGTAAAGTAAAAGTGTTTCCTCTAATCTTCCTGAGGTAACTATGTTAAGAGTTTAATGTGTTTCCTTTCATATAGTTCTAAAAATAGACATAATTTACAGCTCCAGCTTTTATGAACTCAGCTCAGAACAGAGGGAATGCTTTGGAATTTGGAAAAGATGCCCCACCCCATAATTCTATAACATGCTTATAGTGTTCATTTATACCCAGCTTAAGCTGTATATAATATTAAATAATAAACTACTATGGCAGATTGCAAGTATTACAGTGAATTCAAAGGAGGATTTAAACATTGAGGACTTCCCAGGAGTTGAGCCACTTAAGCTCTTAAGTAGAGACATATATGCTTCAGGAAGTCGTTAAATGTAATAATGCTTAAACTTTTTTTGAAGTTGAACCTGAATATTAGAAATTACCAATTAAAATATTTCACACCTTTAAAAATTATGTGCCAACTTCACTCATTTTGTTTTTACTTTAACCTAGATATAGAGAAACTTTAAAAATAAATAAATGTAGGCACATATTAGAAGTGCATATTTGTGTAAATATTTATATGGATAATTTTGATAGTTTCTCTAAACAGACAAGCTGTGACAAAGTAGCCACACCTAATTATTGATGCAGGTGGAAAGGTATTGTGTTAAATAGAGGATTGGTTGCCAACTAAAATAACTTTAGAGAACTGGTTTTCAATCTTGTGGATAGAGAGACTAGTCAAGTCAGAAATGTGCCTAAGTGTTTTTCCCACTAGTATGTACTGCAGCTAAGTATTCTTGCCAATTATTTGGTTCATAGCATTGATAGATTGAAACTACAAATAAACATTAGTCTTCATTAGGGTGTGTATTATAATGACATAAAAATTCACAGACATTTTCTAGTTTTCACAAGTTTGGTATAATCGTTTTTATGTTAACTCTTGTTTTTACCAAGTTATCCAAAATTTACGTTAGTAAGTGAACCATGATTTTAAAATGCTTCATTATTAAGCATATGGTTGACCCCAGTGTGATTTACTTTGATCACATAAAGTATTTTACCATTGCTAAATGGAGGTTTAACCCATTTATGTCTGAGGTTGCAATTTTTTGAATGTTTGCAATCAGACTTTGGCAATGGCCTTAAGCAGTAGGATGTAAATAACTCCCACGTGCTTAGAGTTCCAATAATGAAACAGTAGGCATAAATAGGTTTTAAACTCTGAATTACTTTACTAATTTGTGTCCTGACTGCCACTATGTTTGGATAAATGTATCTATTCTGGGGCATCAAAATTCTGTGCATTTTTAAAATGAGCATTTGTTACTGGATAACATTATAGAAAATCAAGTTAAAGTTACCATTGATTTCATCTCACATTTTGGCAAGAATTGTGCCACTGTTTGGGATTACTTTTGCAGAATATGTTTGATCGTATCATTTCTCTAGTAGGTTTCACCAAAGGGAGATACATCAAAATGCTAATTAAAGTTGTTAATTTTAATTGTTTACAAAAAGTTCAGGTTTCCCTCTGAAGGTAATGCCTTGTGGGTAAGCAATTTGACACAGAAACTGTAAATAACAGATTGTCTTCTATTTAAGATTTAAATATTAGCCCTTTGTCAGATGAGTAGATTGCAAAAATTTTCTCCCATTCTGTAGGTTGCCTGTTCATTCTGATGGTAGTTTCTTTTGCTGTGCAGAAGCTCTTTAGTTTAATTAGATCCCATTTGTCAATTTTGGCTTTTGCTGCCGTTGCTTTTGGTGTTTTAGACATGAAGTCTTTGCCCATGCCTATGTCCTGTATGGTACTACCTAGGTTTTCCTCTAGGGTTTTTATGGTATTAGGTCTAACATTTAAGTCTCTAATCCATCTTGAACTAATTTTCGTATAAGGAGTAAGGAAAGGATCCAGTTTCAGCTTTCTACTTATGGCTAGCCAATTTTCCCAGCACCATTTATTAAATAGGGAATCCTTTCCCCATTTCTTGTTTCTCTCAGGTTTGTCAAAGATCAGATGGCTGTAGATGATATAATTATATTAAAATCATTTTCAAAAAAAAAATATTTAAATAAACATGCAAATAAAGATATACTTTTTATATCCCCTTTTCATATTTCCTTTATATTTTTTCTCCTCTGACTAGTTCACACTTGTTCACAAAGTAAGAGCATTGTTGACTATAGGCTCTTCTAGCAAACAGTCTCTTCAGAAAATGCCAATGCTTTGTTGGACAAAAGGGCGTAAATTTTTTTACAATCCTTTTCCACTGTCTCCTACCACCTCCCCCTAATAAACCATTTACAGGTATCTAAATAGCAATTTATGTTGTAAAGTATCAGAATGGTAGTGAAATAAACCAGAAAGTTTCTCTCAATTTATGAACAAATCTGAATGGAGTTGTATGAATATAGGAAACAACAAAAGTACATTAGTGAGTATATAGGCTGTTTGAAATATTTTTTTTTTTGGCTTGTTTTTCTGTAGGATATCACTACTTTAACTGGCGTTCCAGAAGAGCATATAAAAACTAGAAAAGTCAGGATCTTTGTTCCTGCTCGCAATAACATGCAGTCTGGAGTAAACAACACAAAGAAATGGAAGATGGAGTTTGATACCAGGGAGCGATGGGAAAATCCTTTGATGGGTTGGGCATCAACGTGAGTACTTTAGTTTAATGCGAATATTGTCAGCTCTCTTTTTCTGTGTAGATTTTTATTTTAAATATGATTTCAAACTCCTTTATGTACAGTATACTTAGGACAGTACTTTTTGATGCTGTGCTCTTAGCACAATAAACTGTGACATAGTCTTTTTCAGAGTACTACTTATTAGATAAAAATGACTGAGTTTGAGAGCACTGTTATGGAACTCAAAGCTATGTATACAGTAGTCCCCCCTTATCTGCAGTTTTGCTTTCTACGGTTTCAGTTATCCGACGGACGGTACAATAAGATATTTCGAGAGATGGAGAGAGACTACACTTATATAACTTTTCTTACAGTATATCTTTATAATTGTTCAATTTTATTGTAATTTATTGTTAATGTCTTACTATGCTTAATTTATAAGTTATACTTTATCATAGGTCTGTGTGTTTAGGAAAATACAGGATTTGTTACTATTCGTGATTTTAAGCATCCACTGGCATTCAATAGGAGTTTTGGAACTTGTCCCCCCTCCTCAGATAAGGGGGAATACTGTTTTATCCAAGATACTGTATGAATAATATTTGTAATATGGTGACACTAACTTGTCTTAAAATTACAATAAACTTCTTTGTAATATTTTATATATATATATATATATATAAAATATATATATCTTTTTTGTTTGGGGGGGTAAGAACTAGGTGAATTTAGAAATTAGCTAACGAGGGAAACTTGTAAGTTCCTGAGATATTGTGATTAATAAATTACATTTTATTTTTATTTATTTATTATTTTCTTTAGAGATGGGGTCTCGCCCCCTTGCCCAGGCTGGAGTGTAGTGATGTGATCCTAGCTCACTGCAGCCCTGAACTCCTGGGTGATAAAGCAGTCCTCCCACCTTAATCCCCCAAGTAGCTGGGAATATAGGTACATACCACAGCTCCTGGCTAATTTTTTTAATCTTTTTGTAGAAATGGAGCCTCGCTTTGTTGCCCGGGCTGGTCTCCAACTCCCGGCTTCAAGCGATCCACCCACCTCAGCCTCGAAAAGTACTGGGATTACAGGTGTGAGCCACCACGCCTGGCCATTGAATTGCTTTTTAACAGTGTGTTGGAATAAATTCTTGTGGTACTAATGAAGTCAGTGACCTAATTCTCCATAATGGAATAGGGCCCAAATGTTAAATAGAAGGGCTGATTCTAGTTAAATTTAAAAAGCTGACATTAGAGAAAACATTAGGCAGATAAGCTAGAAAATTGTCTTTCATATTGAAACTCTTAGAACATTGTATGTGTCCAGTCTCCAGTTGAAGGTAGTTATAAACTTAAATTAGAAAATGTAGACTGTCTTGTTTTAGAAAAGTATAATATGCAACATCATTTCCTGTTGATTACTTGGGAGACCTTTTTTTTAGAAAACATCATGTTGCAGTTTAAATATAATTATTTTATTAGGCAAATGATATATAGGCACAATATTTTAGTTTTCTTCTTATGTTGCAGTTTAGTTCATTTATTAAAATGAGAAAAAAGTCAAACAATACAAATTCAATTAGAACATCATAAAAATACAAATGTACTTCCACAGATCTACAAATTTGTTATAAGATTAGTTATAATTCAATGTGTTATAAAATTAAGAGAACCAAAATGAAACACTTTGCTAAGAATATTCTGCTTTGTCATACCACCTAAGTAGAGTCTGGAGCACTCACTGGTAATAAAGCTGAGAAATAGATACTTATCCAACTTAGTCTTTGTAGTGAATCTGTATATGTGAGATGAGGCCGCCACGTCATGGTTACAAGGAAGGGATGGAATCAGCTCATCTCCCTCGAAGCCCATAGTTGTCATGTCTCCTGTAGAAGTAGTATAAGACCTGGCCTGGAAATTGTTAGAAAGGGAGCTACCAAATGGAAAACTGAATCTACCCAGTTTCTGGAAAACAACAGATGGAGGAACATTTGGCTTCCAAACTTTTTCATACATGAGATAATTTTCTTAAGTAATCTTGCTCTGGTGGGTTGTATATTCTGAGTGCTTGTCAAGAAAACAGAAGTCTCCCATTAACTCTAACTTCAAAGAATAAATACCAGGTCAGATTTCCCAATGCACCTTACTGTTTCAAGAGATTCCTGGTGGTGTCTGCATCAGTAAGTATGGTCATATATAGACAAAAGCAGTGGTTCTCAACTGAGGGTGCTTTTGTTTCCTTAAGACATTTGCCAGTGTGTGGAGACATTCCTGGTTGTAACAAGTGATGGCTTCTGCTGACATCTAGTTAATAATGGCAGTGCTATGAGACACAGGACTGCCCTCCTTTGCAACCAAGAAAGAATTTTCTGGCCTCCCAAAAGTAGAAGATGCTGAGGATTAAAAGCCCCAGTATCAAGGAGAATACTTTCTGAGACCTTTTTTTTTTTTCCTTACAAAAACGCAATATCCCCACCAATGTGAGATGTTAGATCACATTTTTGTACAAGGGTGGTTGTGGTAGGTGGAATTCTAAGATGCCCCAGGATATCTGCTTTTTTGTTGCAACTCTCATCATCCTCTTCCATAAGGTATGGCTACGTCCGTGACTTGTTCTAGATAGTTGATTATGGCATAGGTGAGGGGATGCTCTCTGGGGATTACCTTTCCTTATATCAGAAACAATAGGAATCTATATTTTCTTTCTATCTTGTGTTTGCTTTCATAATAAAGTGATTTAGAATATCCCCCTGTTCATGGAAATTTTGCCCTGTAGTCTAAGGCCTTTCATACGTAATTGAATATTTTTGTTCTTTTTTACATTTTAGATCCAGGGGGTACATGTGCAGGTTTGTTACATGAATGTATTGGGTGATGCTGGGGTTTGGGCTTCTAGTCAACTCATCACCCAAATAGTAAACACAATGCCCAATAGGCAGTTTTTCAACTCTTGCCCCCTCTCCCTCTCCTCTCTATTGGAGTTCCCAGTGTTTATTGTTTCCATCTTTATATCCATGTGTACCCATCGTTCAGCTTTCACAAATGAGAACATGCAGTATTTTGATTTTCTGTTTCTGCATTAATTCACTTAGGATGATGTCCTCCAGCTTCATCCATGTTGCCGCAGAGGACATGATTTGATTCTTCTTTATTGCTGCATAGGATTGCATGATGTTTATGTATCACATTTTCTTTATGTACCACATTTCTGTATCCAATCCATTGTTGATGGACACTTAGGTTGATTCCTTGACTTTGCTATTATGAATGGTTTCTTTCTGATAAAATGAGTTCTTTTCCTTTGGGTAGATACCCAGTAGTGAGACTGCTAGGTCAAATGGTAGTTCTGTTTTTAGTTCTTTGAGAAATCTCCATACTGTATTCCATAGGGGTTGAATTGCTTTACATTCCCACCATTAGAATGTAAGCATTTCCTTTTCTCTGCATCCTTGCCAACAATAGCCATTCTGACTGGTATGAAATGGTATCTTATGGTAGTTTTGATTTGCATTTCTGTGATGATTAGTGCTGTTGAGCCTTTTTCATGTTTATTGGCCATTTGTATATTTTCTTTTGAGGAGTAGGTGTTGGTATCCTTTTTATTTTATGTTTCACATAATATATGGAGTCATTTGGTAAACCACAGGCTTCTAGAAGCTGAAGGAACTTATAAGGAAAAACATTTGTCCCTATCCAGTGATTGAAATGTTAATGATTACTGTTTTTCAATCACATGAGATTTTTACATGTTCATCTATTCCCCAGACTCACTGTTGTAATACATTCCCAGCAACATTCAGTAATAAATCATTATTTGAGTACTTGTGCCTTATATACTCTAAATTGTTTATGGGTAAAATATTTATATAAGAATATACATTTGAGTGGTATAGAGGAGAAAAAGTAATATCTTCCTCACATCTATTGCAAAGTTTGTGGCTGAGACATCTGTAACAAAAGATAGTTTAATGAGAGACTCTAGCACACAGTTTCATTTTGTGTAAGTTTTATGTGATACAGGAGCCTTCAGGAATGAAGACCCAAAGAAACAGGGAAATCTGTGTATTTTTGTGCTTAGTTTTGAGGAAGAGTAGACAGTCATACAGAAAGATGGTTGGACAGAGTTTATGATCTAATGATCATAAAGTAGGAAGAACTTAGCCAGACCTGTTTGTTCAGATTCTTGTCTGTGTCTCTGTGTCTTCAGAAATGAGGACATTCCGTTCCTCCTGTTACAGGGTGGACAGTTCTGGAATGAGGGTCTTAGGACTGACTTCAGAAGGTCAGATAATTCTGTTATGTCCTACTTCAGGGGAGAGTGTCAGAGAGACCTTCCTGCTTCTGCTGTTTTCTCAAATGCCAAGCTGCCATATTTTGGGGATACTGTGTCCTGAAGACCATTAGTGGGTTGTTTAAATAAATAAAGTTTTACTTTGCTGTGCTTGTACAAAGGTTCACACAATCATTATTATAGTATTGCTTAGTCTGGAAATAGCATAATTAAATTTTGAAATATGTAGTGATTTAATACTCTGATGCTTTAAGACAAAACTGTAACCTACTGTGCATAAAAATGGAAATGCTGTTTTTATTACATATTGATTGAAAATGAGATATACTACATGTTTGGGAGGTAAAGTTCTTTTCAAAACGTAGTTTTGCCAAAGTAAAACGTTTTTTGAAGCAATAGACCCTGTCTGCAATTGGTTTATCTGAGACGTTATTTTGAATCTTGAATATTTTTAAAAAATATTCATTACTTGTTTTTGTTCTGATGTTAAGAAGCAACCAGTAGCATGAAAAAATGTAAGAAAAAAATTATTATTTAAAATATTTACTTATTTGATTTGATTAGAATAGAGAATTGCTACTCTTTTTTTAGCATTTTTAATGACACAAAAATAGTATATAATTTTACTGCTTGAACATATTGAATTCTGACTTCTTTTGGTGAGATATTTTAAAGCTTTTTATAAAATTGTTGGAATTGTAAGCTGAAGGTTTTTCATGATCATCTAATTAAATTTTATCACTTAA